GGTGAGGACTGGCAATATTCATTTTTAACTTTTTATTTTTAAATAATTTTAGACTTACAGAGAAGTTGCAAAAAGTGTACTTTTCCCTAAAGCTATCTAACATCTTCCATAGCTACAAAACAGGATGAAAACAGAAATAACACAGGTACAAAACTAAAGAATCAACATGTGTACAAGGCTATATTTATTCAGATAAATCCATATTCCATTTTTATCAGCTTTCCCACGGCTGCACTACCTTTCCCAGGATTCCACAGTGCATCTAGTTGTCATATCTTAGTCTCCTCCAAATGACCTCTATCTTTCCTTGTCTTTCCAAATCTCGACATTTTTGAAGAGTGGCAAGCAGTTATCCTGTGGAATGTTGCTCAGTTTTCTATGTTTTTCATCCCTTCTACATGTGATAAATGTCCTTTCTGCACGCTTTAATTTGTTATTCATTTTGGATTCATGAGTATGGATGGACTTATGAATATTTTATGCTGTGTTTTAATCCAGTGTGCTATTACTATTTATTTTGTTGCTTCAGGATAATCTAATTTGTAAAAACCGACATGGGAATCATCGACTTAGGCTCTCTGTGCCTGCTTCCTCGTCTGTAAAATGAAAACACTTATAATGCTGCTCTGAATGAGCGGTTGTGGGATTGATGAGGGATTGATAATGTCATGCTGTGAAGCCTCAGCTCACTGCTTAGTATGCAGGAGGTCCTCAGTACGTGTCAGCCATATTGTTCCCCTCGCCATTACCGAAACACATGTGTCAGATACAGATAGCAGATGAGGCCACAGTACAGTCTGGTCAGTTGTAGAGCAGATGTTGGGGGAACAATCAGACAGGGAATTCATTTTATTGTCAGAATCCTGCCATGAGCCCACCAGGGATGTTTGGCCAGCAAATCATGGGCCCACGGGGATCTCACTTGCCTCATGCATATACGGCGGAAGCCCTTGCCGGTTCTGACACTGTGTGGTACCAAACTATCTGGGCTAAATGGAAAGATTTGGTGACTCACATGAAGTCCGGGAACATATCAATGATGCTCTTACACTGACACAGAGAAGGAAGTAATTCACAAAATCATAACCCAAGAATTTGCTGCCGGTGTAGAAACAACAATGGAACTGTGCCTACATTTGGTTATTTTCTTGTCAGGCATGTGCTCCATCTCCTAATAAAATCCACGTTATTGCCCTGTCTCCAAGCTTTGTTTTGTTTTAATTGTGGTAAGATGTATATTATCATTTTAACCATCTTATGTGTACAATCCAGTAGAATTAAGTACATTTCCAATGCTGTATAACCATCGCCACTGTTTATTCCAAGGACAAACTCTGTCACATGAAATAATAACGCTCATTACTCCTTCCCCTAGTCCCTGGCAATAATTACAGTTCTACATTCCGTCTCTATGAATCTGCCTATTCTACACACTTCCTTGAGTTCTTGTGTGATGCAAATAATGAACACACCCAGCTGCTAACTGAAAGGGTTGGAGGTTCTTGTCTACACACAGCCACCTTGCAAGAAAGGCCTGGTGGTTTCCTTGCAGAAAATCGACCATTGAACCCTCGATGGGCGCAGTTCTGTTCTGACTACATGGGGTCTGGATGCATCCGAACAGACTCCCTGGCAACTCGGGTGGCGTTGGGTTTGCTGAAGATACTTCATATGCCTTGCCAAGCTTTATGTAGCGGGCTTGTTCCCAAACAGTGTGGAGGACAAACAAGCAATTTTTTTCATGGCACTTGCAATTATCTAGTTGTGCTTTAAAAGTTCATTGAAAACACACACGCAAACTAAATGAAATAAACTCTGTTATTCATTAGGCCCATTCATTTGTCTTTCACCAGGGCCTGAGACAAAGCCTGGTCCTTAACATAAGCTTAAAAACTCTCGATTGAATGAATGAGTAAAGAATGAGCAAACAAAAGAGCTTCAATAGGGAAAGCATGCCATGACAGGATAACAGTAGCATGCTCTTTCCCCGAGGACTTGAAGACGGGAGCCTGGATCAGGGAGAATGTGAAAAATAGTTCCTTGACGCTTCAGAATTCAAGGGGCTTACACCAAGTCCACTGTGAGAATGTTCTTTAACACCGGATCCTTGAATCTCACGTGGTGAATGAAAAAGCCACTGGCCTCTGTGATAAGCGCTGAGTCTCATTAAGGCTCATTTAGTGTGACTCAGATGTCACTTTCTGCCCAAGTTAAAAACAAACCTTGACAAATCATAAGCACCTCTGAAATTAATATCCTATAATGCTACCTACCTCTAGGAATACTCCAAAGTTGCATTGCTACCTCATTTTTCTCCCCAACAGCTGTTCCTTGACTGTCCAACTTTCTGAGACCAACATTTCGCTTGCTCTCCCCTTCCAGAATCATGTTAGAAAGGGCCTTCTGAACAAGACCAACACTTAACACCCGCATGTGTAATTTCAGTAAGGGCATCTTGGATAAGGTTCAGGACGGATGGGCAGCTCACCAAATTGTACTCTACAATGAGTAGCATTAGAGCCCAGTGGATGTTGCCAGGGAAATGCCACCCCATGCCGCCTTTGTCGTCTTCTAATTAGGTTTTCTCACATTAAGCTTATAATACCTACTACAGGCTATGGGCACCAGGTCACAGAGGCAGCCAGATTGTGATGTCAGGAAGCATAGAGAGTAGCCTTGGATCAAACTTGAGCTTCAAAGACTGACCTCTTCCTGTCAGCCCTGATGGAACTACGGCAACCTGGAGCTTATAAGCCTGGAGGGTCTCAAGCTTATGCCAGCGCTTTGAAGGACTTTGAACTCATCATTACCAGTCGACCCAAGAACTTTCATTCTATCTAATAGAAATGGATCCTCTTAAAATAGTGGTTGCCAAGGGAACTCCAAGGTCAGTAGGCAAATAAAATGAGAGGCAGTTTGAGAAAGAGGAAAAAGAAGATGGCTTTGGAGTAAAATCTTTCCATTCCTGGTTGTGCGTGTCTAACTGTGTGACCCTCTGGGAAACCCAGAGACCTCCGTTTACAAAATGGAGGAATAAATCATTATGCCACAGTGCCATTAGCACTTCACAAGATAATACATTCAGAAGAGCCTGGCGCACAGGTGCCTGGAGACATTGAATTCGTGGTTACTAGGGACTAAGGAAAGGAGAATGGAGCCTATAGCTGCGTTTCTGTTTGGAGGCAAGAAAAACTTTTGGAAATGGATAGCACAACATAGTGAACACACTGCCACTGAACTGTAGAGTTTAAAGGCTTCCGATGGTAAACATTCTGTGATATATATTTTAACCACAAAAACGTTTTAAAGTGTCTGGCAGAGAGTAAGCCCTAATAAATATTTCCTTCCTTGCTGCCACAAACTTGTCTGAACATTCAAGAAAGTGAAGGAAAATAAGAAACTGAAAATATTGACGGACAGTTAAAATGTTAACCAACTGATTTGTGGATTTCACTGAATTAATTTATTGCAATAAAGATGCTTTTGTTTTATTTTTTTAATAAAAGGAGGGTTTGTTGGTTGTAAGCAGTTTTGGGTTTATGGAAAATTGGACAGAAAGTACCAAGAGTTCCCATGTATCCCCTCTCCTCTTTGCCTGCAGTTTCCTTCATTACTATTTATCATTAATGTGGCATGTGTATTTTAATCAATTTTGATGTTTTATTATTAATTACAGTCTATAGATTACATTGGAGTTCACTTTTGTGTCATACCATGGGATTTTGTGACGAATGCATACGGCACAATTCTACATAGCTACATACATATCTAATATTAAATGCATATCTACAATTCAGGGGATCTACAATTGCAGTATTATACAGGATAGTTCCACTATAATTAAAATGTCTTCTGCTTCACCTATTGACCTTCCCTTTCTCCCTCTCATCCTCTGAGCTTGTTTACTGCGCTTTATCTGCCTGTTCCAGAAAGTCATGTAGTTGGAATTATACAGCAGGTAGTCTTTTCTGATGGACTTCTTTCACTTAGCAAGAAGAGTTTAAGCATATGCCATGACTTTTCATATCTTGACAGTTCATTTATTTTTATCAGTGGAATATTACATATTCTATTATATGGCTGCATCACAATTTGTCTTCTCACCTACTGAAAGCCATCTTTGTTGCTTTTCATTTTGTAAAAAGAGCCGTTTATAAGCATTCTCATGGGGCTTTGTGTGGATCTATTTTCAACTCCTTGGGTAAACGTCTAGAAGCATCATTGCAAGATTACAATGTTAGACTATATCTATCTTTGTAACCAACTGCCAGACTGGCTTCTAAAACGATGCTACCATTTTTCATTTCATCAGCAATGAATGAACGTTCCCATGGCTCTATTTCCTGGCCAGCATTCGGTGTTGTTGATGTCTTGGATGTAACCATTCTAATAGATGTGTAAGGAGCCCAGGTGGCACAGCAGGTAAGGTGTCGGATTGCAAACTCCAGCCACTCCTCAGAAGAAGGCTGAGGCTGTCCGCTCCCAGACAGATTTACAGTCTCCAAAATCCTATTTAGACTCCCTCTGAATGAGAATGGACTCCGAGGCAGTGGTTTGGGCTTGGGGAATTGGTGTGGAATGGTATCTCGTGGTGGTGTTCATGACAGATGAAGTCCAGTGCCTTTTCATAGGCTAAGCTTCATCTGTCTAGCTCCTTTGGTGAAGTGTCCAGAGCTTTGGCCAACATTTTAATTGAGTCATTTATTTTATTAATGATGTCTCTACATATTTGGATAAGAATATAAATCCTTCATCCAATGTCTTAAGAATCAGATTTTAAGACCCTTTCCCTTCCATCTTTGTCTAGTTCAGCAGGGAATAGATCAAACCAAAGAATGTCAAAAATCCTGAGGATGCAGGGGCTCAAGTGGAAAGTGGATGTTTTGAGAATGATGATAGCAACAAATGTGCAAATGTGCTTGACACAATGGATGGATATATGGATTATGATAAGCGTTGTACGAGCCCCCAATAATATGACTTAAAAAAAAATTCTTAAGATGAGTTCAGCTCGGTCCCGCAGGGCGGCCGCGGCTCTGGCGGCGTGGGGACGTTTGGCGTTGGGTGGGCGGCATCCGAGCGCCCACATGAGCCACTGGCATAAAGCGGGCAGCGACTGGGCCCAGGCACGCGTCTTCCCGGGACATTGCGCACCCAAAAAGAAGGGCAAAAACCACATCCCCGAAAGATGGAAAGACTGCCTCCCAGTTGGACAGCGGATGCCTGGGACGCGTTTCATTGCTTTTAAAGTTCCTTTGAAAAAGACAAACTTATTGGGGTTCACTGTACCCATGGCTTAAACAGGACTGGCTATCTCATCTGTAGATACTTGATTGATGTAGAAGGCATGCGGCCAGATGATGCAATTGAATTATTTAACAGGTGCCGGGGAAATTGCATAGAAAGGAAAAACTACATTGAAGACCTTCAGAATGGACCTGCCAGGAAGAACTGGGGTTCCAGTAGGTCCAGGTCCAGTGGTTTTGAAGCATCACCACATCTCATGGAACCAATGTCTACTACGACTCCGTTTGGTCACCAAGGATCTGGGTATAACTTCCATCGGAACCAAGTGTACCCAGCCCCATCCTGGCATTTCCACGCTCAGCCCCAGGATTTCCAGCACCCAGTCAGGACATTTTCACACAATCAGCATGTTTACCAGAGAGGCCTTGCTCCCCCACCCC